CGTGGGCTCAGGCAATCCACTCACCTCAGCCTCCCAAAGGAGCGGGATTACAGGCTGAGCTGCCGAGCCCAGCTATTTATTAAATCTTAAAGATTGTTCAGCCCAGTCAGTAATAACTATTGGAAGCAAATTATAAGAATACATGTTTACCTTTTTAACTTTTTTTCTGTTTATAAAATTAATGTGAGGTTTTCTGGATCTGGCAATATCCAAATACAAATCATCTGTTAAGTATTCCTGCTGCAAACACAATTATATAAAATAATAAACGTTAAAAATAATATAACTGTGGTTACAGGAGAAACAGGAAAGTCTCATGCCAGAAAAGAAGGAGGAACTGAAAACGTGGCCAGGAGCTTAAGAGCTCCTGAAAGATTAGTGGTCCTGAAAGTGTTGCTTGGGGGATTTTGTTTTAACACCAAAGCCTTTCAGAAGTTGAAACTGATACATCTTCATGAAGCTGAAATCCTTAAAAGATGTGTACCCTATGTAAAAGGGCAGGCTATGTTTAAAAAAAAAAAATTAGGCAGCCGGGTTTGGTGGCTCAGCCTGTAATCCCACACCTTTGGGAGGCTGAGGTGAGTGGATTGCCTGAGCCCGTGGGTTCAAGACCCGCCTGGACAGCGAGACCTCATCTCTACAATAAATCAAAAAATCAGTCGGGCGTGGTAGCGCATGCCTGTAATTCCAGCTACTTGGAAGGCTGAGGCGGAAGGATCACCAGAGCCCAGCAGGTCGAGGCTGCGGTGGCCGGGAGTAACCACTGCCCTCCAGGAGTTGAGACTCCAACTCAAAAAAAAAAAAAAAAAATTAGGCATCAGCACTAAGAGAAGACAAGAAGTGTTCTCTGCTCAGTTCTGAGGGTTCAGCGGTGGAAGGGGAATTGATGTGAAAGGGTTGTCATCCTTGAGAATTCAAAAACTGCCTGTGCTTTGAGCAAGTTTGAGATCAAACTTTACAAGATTGTCCAAGAATATCCAAAATTGGTCTGGGGGCTCTTGGCAAAGCAAATATAAATGCTCTTTGAAACAACACTACCAAAACCCATGCCATCTGACAGGAAAGAAGAAAGCCAAACTGAAGATGATTTTACAGAAAGAATTAGCAACTCTTCTTGAAAATTATTCATAGTAAGAGTCAGCATAAGAACAAGTCACAATACCAAGAGAATCAGTAGGAAGGAAAGAAGAAAGTATGAAAAAAATGTATTAGAAACACTAAGAAAATATCAAGCCTTTAAGAAAGAAAGAACATAATGAAAAGAGAACAGACATGTTTGAAGAGACCAAAAAGAACTTTTAGAAATAAGTATTGGCCAGATGCAGTGGCTCACGCCTATAATCCCAGCATTTTGGGAGGCCGAGGTGAGAGAATTGCCTGAGCCCACAGGTTCAAGACCAGCCTGGGCAACTTGACAAGACCTTGTCTCTAGGATAAATCAAAAAATTAGTCAGGCATGGTGGCGTGTGCCTGTTATTCCAGCTACTTGAAGGCTGAAGTGAAAGGGTTGCCTGAGCCCTGCTGGTCGAGGCTGCAATGGCCGTGAGCATGCCACTGCACTCCAGCTTGGGTGACAGAGTGAGACTCTGACTCAAAATATATATATTAGCCTGGCATGGTGGTTTACGCCTGTAATTCCAGCACTTTGTGAGGCGGAGGTGAGAGGACTGCCTGAGCCCAGGGGTTCAAGACCAGTCTGGGCAACTAGGCCAAACCTCATCTCTACAGTAAATCAAAAAAAATTAGCTGGACATGGTGGTAAGCACTTGTGAT